GCGGGGGAGTGTGATAGCCTAACAAGGCTTCCTTCCCTGGGTCTACCTCCTCTGTGGTAGTATAGGTAAGGTAAAGGAGGTTGTTCGGTTAGTGTGGGGAGCAGTGAGACCTGGCATTAGGGGAGTGTCTCTGGGACGCCAGAGATCACTGTCTAGCCTCCTGGAGGTGTCGTGGGACTAACTAGACGAAACACCGGTGAAAGGAGGTTCCCACCCGATGACCCCAAAGACATGCTAGTTATCACTGCTCACGGGTCTGTATAGTTAAGCCTTGCCATAATAGCTTATCGTAGGGCTTAGGAGGATTATTCACTGAGCGCTGATCCCTTTTTTTTTTTTTTTATTATTATTAGAGCACAAACTTCTTGTGTTTATTTGAATTGTAAAAGTCTGCAAAACTGCTTACAGGACACCTTGAACTGCAGACAAAGTCATTTATGACTCTTCAGAATGAATTTTTGATCTATGGTGGGTTTATATTTGTAAAACTTTCCTCAAGCCATGAAAAGCGATTTAAAAATCTGTGATGTCATCACAATGTTAAGTCTGTGAGCTGAGTGGGAACTTGTGGGCGGAGCCAGGGAGAGAAACACTACTGTGCACATTCAGTGGGCCGCACATGTAAGAGTAAACCCAGGAACTACAAACTTTTTTTTTTAACGAGTGCGTCAGGCGAGCAATTCCACAGGACTGAATAGGCGCCATTGTGCCATCTGGTACCTTGGTATTATTACAAATCTATGGTTAAAATACCCAACTTTACAGCGGAAATAAACTATATATATAGTTAATTTACCCTCTTTATGGGCTTTAAGTTATGTATAATTAAGGCGGGCTGCTTTGAGTGACAGGCTGTCTGCCAATAGTGTCATCGGCTTGTCAGTCAGATTCACCACTCGTTCCTTCACAGCTCCAGCTTCTCGCCCAAATATGGTCACTTCTGGCTCCATAATCCAAGATGGTGATGGCCAACATGCCAAACTTGAGGCTTTGAAACAGGAGTCCACAAACCAATGGGTGACATCACTGTAGCTACATCCAATTTTTTTTTTTTTTACAGTCTATGCTTTTACATAAACAGTAATTTTGACGTGAACAAAGCCAGCATATTTTTATTTACATCTAACTGGGTGATTTAAGGATTTATTTTAACCAAACCAGAGTTGGTGATTGATGCAACAGTGTAGAGATGAACCAAGATTGTTTGAGTTTTATGTTGCTTCTGTTGACTTTGAATGAAGTGTGTTTTAGCATAATAAAATTACTGTTTATTTAAATTGAGTCTGGTGAGTTTTATGATTTCAATTCCTGGCTGTTTCTGGTTAAACAAAATGGATCTTACTCTTTCGCAAAATGTCTACCTCTGTGAGGATCCTTTCCATAATGTTGTCAGACACTTGGAACAGTCTGGGCCTGTCAGTGTCAAAACAGGCACTTGAGTGTTTACATTGCAGCATGCTTTGCCACTGCTCTCACTCAATATTGAACCAGTTTCAAAAATTGTTGTCCCCAGTAGTCACCAGATACAAAAACATAGGAAAATAGGGTCCAGGTTGAAAAATACTATTTACCTCTGGCTTTGTAGATTAATTTAAAGTGCAGAAAGCCACATAGCAACTCTTCATAATGCTAGCAAATACTTTGTTTTCCCCTGCAGCATAAAAAGATGTGACATTATGTGGGCGTTCCCACTGATACTGACTGAAACTATAGTGAAAGCAAGGCTTAAAGGGAACCGATCTAAAAGCTAATTGTGCCAATATTCTATAGCCATTACATTGTCTAATCAACATTTACTTCATTATGATAAGTTAAAGCACAATTTAAGCATGACAGATTGTGATGAAAGTATTCACAAGTTGCAGCCCAATTCCAAATGTCTACACGTCTGGACTGCATCTTACCCATGGTGGTCAGCGTGACAATGACAAAGTAGAGGGACGATGTGAAGTCGTAGCGTCTCTCCTCCCCATCAGCCTTCAGAACAGCTATGTCACTGTGATGAGCAGAGAGAGCTTTCACCAGCAGCTGGCTCAGCCTGCTCTCGTCCACACACGGGTTCTCCCGCAGGAAGGAGCGACGCAGCTCCTCCACCTCGGCTCTCAGCTCCTCCTCCACCGGCTTCTCCACAGCTGTGAACACCAGACCTCCCAGCAGAACAAAGAGCAGGTAGCAGAGAAGCAGGCAGGCGAATGCATTGACCTGGCAGAACCGTCCCAGTGAAGACACAAGCTGGGCCATTGTTGGTTCTGACGGTTGCTCCTCTACAGACTGCAACCAGATACTGAAAGCTAGTTAAGCTTTAAATATTTAGAAAGGTAGAGCAGACCACAGACACAGGCCCGATCAAAGGGATGGATCAGGTGAAACTATTCTGAATTATACACAACAGGCAGGCTTGATGGACCTTTGACCACCAAATTATTGGTGGTTAAAGGTCACTGTCACCTCACTAAACATGTTTTTGACCATAACTCAAGAATTCATACACTACTTATGAAAAAAAATTGCACAAATGTCTAATGATATTACATATCCAAAGGTCAAAGGTCAATTTAACTGTCAAATCATGATAATCTGTGAAAACATTCCTCTGGCCATTATTCAACATCATACGTCAGGAACAGAGGGGGAGACATTTGGTCAGATACTGAATTGGTGACACTAATCTTGATTGTATAGATCCACTGTGCTGTCAGGGGGAAGATGTGTGAGAAGCATCCATGTTTTCACAGATGTAAACTGTAACTGCAACTTGACTGGTTCACAGAGGCCTACAACCCAGAGGAAGTAATTCTAGTTTTTAATACTGCCTCAGTGATGTCTTCTTGATTTGCAATGTAACCCGATCCAAAACCCAAAATAAGTAAGTTAGAAACACATAATATGTTTTTATTGTTGTGGTCTACACCAGCATTACTTCTGAATAACAACGTGGCATTGTGGCATATATCTATTTTTCTTTCAAATAATGCTGAAGCTTTTGTTTTAAAAAAATTCCCTGGTGAACACCGCTGCAGTCTGTATTTGTTCATCCCAGTTTTTCCAGGTGAGATGCGTTGGTGTCAAAGTCAGAAATAAAACACTACATGTACTTTTCAGACTTTTGTTTCCTCAGTGAATTATGGTCCAAATGTTGTTGTCCATCCAGATAATAAAACAGAATTCTGGCAATTCAACTATGAAAATATCACATAAGAACAACTATTGGTAGCTGAAGCTGAAAAATATGAATATGGGCCTTTTCAAGTCTGTAGCAGTCAAGCCCTGTAGTCTGAAGCTCATTTCTCAGACCCTCTCCTCTAGAGCGGCAGGTGAAGGGAGTAATGGGAACACGCCCAGCGGCGCACAGGTTTGCCCACCCTGCCGATGACAGGCAGTTTGTGGGCGTAGGCACGTGGTGGGATGGCGGGGAGAGGTGGAGTTGGGGCAAAAGTGGTCTGGAAGGGGCGGCGGCCTTGGCAACGCCGACCCATTTGCCGCCCGCCAATAAGAAAGGAGAACACCGGAAGTCCTGTCTGAGGAGAGGTGAAGCGAGCCTTGGGGAAAACGTCCCGAGAGAGACCCGCTGGACGCTGACCTGAACGTGATGAGGAAGATCTGGAGCGCTGCACAGAGGAAGAGGAGGAGGAAGAAGAAGAGCGAGCCAGGGACCTACAGAGGAAAAATAAGGTCAGCAACATTCATTACTGTGAACCCCAAGCTGATAGTTTAGTTTTCAGGAAGGTTTAGATGTGTCAGCTTTACCTTCCTGACCCAGTAGCTGCCAGGCTGGGTGGGGGCGGATCAGTGCGTGGACTACCATCCTGCCTGGGGCTGATGTTAAGGTTGGCAGTCAGTTGAGGCATCTTTCGGGTGGTGTCAGGGTTGGAGGCAGGGCCAGGAGGTTCCTTCCTGGCATCACTGAGCTGAGACGGGGTGCAGGGTGGGTAGCTGCCAAACCCAGGCCCTGTACTGAACCTGACAGCCAGGCTGTCGCCAAAGAAGGAGTAGAGCTCACAGTACATGGCAGGGAGAGGGACCGGGGTCCACTCCTCCCAAGGACAGCCGGCCCCACCTGCCTGAAGGTGGCTGGCGATTCCCAGGACAGCCTCTGACAGGGGCTCTGGAGGAGGACTGAGGCCGGGGGAGCTCACCCTATAACCCATAGCACCTACCACGGAGCCTGGCTGACCACTGGAGCCTCCCTCTGCTGGCTGGGACAGAGACAGAGCCTTCATCTTCAGCAGACGCTCCACTGCCACCTGCAGGACGGAAAGGAGAACTTATGGATAATATAACTGCACTGTGATGTAGTAGCAGTCTGTCTGTCAGAATATTTCACTCTTGACCATGAAATTGACAAAATGTCAGCTTAGCACAGAAAAATATTAGCTGTTCAGCCCTTACATATTCTGGGAAATAACAGTATAGAAAAGAAGAAAAAGAGTATGTTCAATTATATATTCAAATTATAAATTAGATCTTGTCATCTTTTGTTTGTTTTGGGGTTTTTTTTTTGGAAAACAGTTAGCACTTGCCAGGCTTCTGAAATCTATTTTAAATTGACTGGCTGATTGGCATTAACCCAGAGATATACAAAAGTGTTGACCATGGGTCATACGTAGACATTGTTTTGTTTTAATGATGTGTTCACACCAAATGCTATGTGAATTTTTGCGTCGTGAGTTTGAACGCTAGAATATTTTGTGTTGACTCGCTCGCTCGCTGTGAATAAGTTGCATCATACATGTGTGAAATCGCTGACTCGATGATTAAACTTCCGCCAGTGCGTCATACAACTCCAGAGGATCTCAATGCTGATTGGCTATCCTGGTGCGAATTGGTCACTGAAGTTGAGATTTTTCACCTCTTGCGAATATGCGTATGACACGAAATCATGCTACTTACTTCATTCATGCCATGTAATTTGCGAATTTTGCATCATTCACGTCATGTTCATCGCGCTGCTGCCCGGCAGGACTTTAACATTGACTTTACGTGTAATTCACTCACGCAAAAAGTTTTGTTTGTGCCCGGTGTGAACACAACAGAGGTCACAAGCCAAGAGGGTTGGGAATCACTGCTCAAGAGGATACTGATAAAACCCAGTGAAACATTTGGCCCTCAGAAACATGTTGTGTGGCCTGCGAACATGACGTGAAATGCATGCGTGAGAGTGCTTTCACTCCTAACCTGTTTGGTTCCATTAACACAAACTCAAGTCCATTGGCATGGTTACTACGGTTTGTTTGGGCTGGTGTGAAAGCTGTCAATCAAACACTAGTGCGGACCAAACAACTGAACCAAGACCGCTTGAAAAGCTGGGTCTTTGTCTGCTTCCAAACAGACTCTGCTGCAGTTTGTTTATGGTGTGAAAGAAAACAAACCAACCACAGGATCTGATGATAGCAGATATGCGATTTCAGCAGCTAAACCAACAACAAATCCATCTGCTGATTGTGAAATTTGTCCACAATCTCTTTATTGATCCTGATAAAGGCCATATATATCCCACAACCTATTTATGCTAATGCATACATGTAACCATGGTAACACATATGCATGTCAGTGTGGGTATATTCCCTGATTAAAAAGCTGTTAAAACTGCCATCTTTGTATCCGACTCTGTGCACTTTGTCTGTTCATTAAGTCTGTTGAAATGTGTGACAGTGATCCTACAGTAATCATTACTGTATAAGAAGCCTTCTTTTCATCCTGTCTCTATCTTAGTCATTATTCATAACGTGATTGATTTGCAGGCTAATAACAGCCTACTAATAATGCTTACATCAGTTTTTTGTCTGTGCTCTTTGTGAAACAAAAGAACAGAAATATAAAGAATTTAGAAGCATTAAAGTGTTGCTGCATAAACTTCTGTCAGTCACCAGAATTTCATTTCCCCACATGGGTCCTGACGATGCAGGATGACAAACACCAAAACTGTCAAATAAACAATTTACCTGTCAGTCAGTAGAACTTCATATTTATAACCTCTTGGTTCATTTGCAAAACATCAGTGTCAACAGGAACCGAACTACTAGGAGACTGCATCAAACTGTGTGCCCCTAGCGTCTGTCTAGTTAGGAATGACAACTTGTAGAAAGTTACAGGTTGCAAGGCAACTAGTGGCACCTCATGAGTGTCGCAGGAATTACTTTCTGTCATCATTTCTTTTGCTGTTAGCTAAAGTAAGCGATTTCATAGACAACTAAACTGCACTTTTCCTATGCGGCCCTAAATCATAACCTGGCTCCCTGAATTGCCGCTCATTCATCAAGCCTTTAAGTATCCCTGGTTTAAAGAGATGGTGAGTGACCGTTTTCATAAAACGGCACAGGAGATAATACGCAACAGGTAACTTTTTGGGTCATTGCAAAACTTCTTGTAGCTGATCACTGTATGAAAGGACTTTTGTCACTGCAGCACTGACCAGAATGGCTCCATAGACCTTATGTCCATCTGCTTTGACCTGGGCATTGGAAACAGAGTAGTCATCCAGCACGGCCTGGAGGTTGGCCCAGTAAGCAGGAAGGTGTGGAAAGAGCACTCTCTCGACAGCCTGTCCACAAAAAAACAACACATATGGGTTAATGTAGAGATGATTGTTGTACTGGTTACTGAGGAGACCAGAGAGGAGGACAAGACAACGAGAAGCATATAGTGGAGAACTGAAGACAATACATAAATAATTTACAGTGAGGAAATGGACCTGTCAGATGGAGCCAGTCTCTAGTGTAGATCTCCACTTTTCTTACAAAGATATTGAATATTTTACATTGGATTTTGCAGAAATATGTAGAAAAAGATGCACATGGTATCTAGGGTACTTGAGAATAAAACATGACATCTCAAGTTTGAATTATTTATAGATTTAGTGATGTGTTGGGACAGGCTCATGAGAATATATGTATACTATCTGACATTCTCTAAATGTAAAGAAACTAGGGCTGTCCTAGTTAATGTGTTAATAACGAGTTAATGCAAACAAAATGCAAAAGAAACTTAAGCTGGCATTCCAAATGAAAGAAAATAATTTCAGAGGATAAAGTTCTACATAATATGTAATATTTGTGGATATAAATCTTTCTGAATGTTTTTCACAGACTCCGATACAACACAGCCACACACCTCTTCAATCACAGGAGATGGGAGCCATAACTCATCAGTCACAGCCACACACCATTGTAAGGTAACCAGAGAAACTACACAAGACTTACAGGTTGAAGCAGTGAACATACCTTCCATCCCAGAGCATGAAGCCCCACCACGGCTCCATAGTGGGAGCAGAGTGGTCTTACTGGGTCAGACAGAACCTTCTGGAGTGACAGCAGGATCTGATGGTAGAGCCCACTCACCAGATCACCATGAGTCCTAGAGAGAATCACAGTAATAAAAGG